AGGGTGAAACTCCCTGAAGCGTGAGCGTAAGGCAAGCTTTCTTACACTAGTGCAAATATTATTTTCGAACTGTAGCCTTCTGCTTCGTGGCCTTGATGAGACGGAAACCGTAATGAGCAGAAACCGTAACCTTTGTGAATTAGCCTCTTAAATTAGGAACTGTTTTGCTCGGCGTGGTGCCTAAATGCCATAGAAAAATGAAGCCCAATTTAAAGATAAATAGCCCTTGCATCATCTTCTAATTTTTGGTTTAAAATTGTGCAAGCTTTATTTTCGAATCCAGTGCAAAATTTTCTATTGGAACCGCTCAGCGGAAATCGCCCGCATCTGTAAATGGTCCAGCCTATAATAGAAAGTTCACAAATTTAGTAAAGCAGTGACTGTGCGCGTAGCAGTCGCCGTAGCTATAGAAGAAGGCATCAAGAGATTAGCCGTCTCTTTTTTGATCTTTAGGAAGGAAGTTTAATATTATATATGTGGAACAACTCCTTGAGGAAAAATGCGATGAAACAAGGGTTTGATTTGACCGGAAGGTCAATCAACGCCCTGATTGTAAGCAGTGATACCGGCGATTACGTTCTGATCTTGAAGTTCATGGGCCATTAGTGACACTCCTTACGCAAACCTTACTCTCACATTTTCCTCTGCCTTGTCACCAACACTTCCCGAAGACTTGACAACATAACAATTCAACTTTGTTTTCTAGGAAATCAAGTTCCGGGCGGTTGAGACTTTATTTGCGCTAACTACAAGAACGCTTTAAGTCACAGCAGGAGGGACTTGAATTATTGGTTTAAAAAACTGTACCGAGTTAAAGAAGGGTGGGACAATAACTGCACTCCAGTCCTGGACACGGTGGTTCACGGTGTTCCACTCTATTGCTTTTTCTAGACTTTATTTCAAACAACTAGACACTATAAATCTGGACTGAATGCCAAGTTTGCTTCGTGAAAATGTGTAACCAAACTCTTACCATGAAGTGTTGAAGATAAAAGAATCATTATCTTCAACTACATTACGGAAACCTAGTCATCATCTCTAATATTCCAGTACCACACTACAAGAATAGTGTACTTGTGGCAGATTAAGGGTGAATACCGCTTATAGTAGTTACTTCTCAGCAACACCTATTGAGCTTGTCGAATTTACTCAGGCTTGTACCATTAAGTAAACGACGGAATTGATGAGAGCGCCGGGGTCGCAAGGAACAGAGTAAAATTACAGTCGAAGACAAGTGAGGGGAGAGGGTTTGCCAGCATTTGAGACCTAGACGAACGGGCAACGTTAAGAGCAAGAACGTTGGTGACCTATGAATGTTAGAGCCTTTAACCAATCATTGACAGCAGAAAAAAGCAACAGAGAATTAATAAAGGCATTGTTCCTCGAGGATGGCTCCTAACTTAATTCAAGACTGTGAAAAAAAGAAATAATGAACACAATGCTAGTTGCTGAGACCTAGCATCAGAAAGGAAGGTAACTATCCTTAATGCATTTCTTATTAACCGCATGATCTGACGTCAGATGGTATAAAAACGGCGGCCCAATACGGTTTGCCAAAAAATGAATAAGTTCGAATTACCTGAAAAGAGAAGGCCTGTACAGGCTACTTTTTTTCGAACTACAAATGCACACGGCAGGCTGAACCGAGGACCTGTCGAGAAGGATAAACAAGGAAAACTCGAGCAGTGTGGTAAAGAATTACCTTAACTAGAGTGAAATGGGTAAAAAGCAAGCCAAAGCTGTATTTTTCCTTCTTCCTCAGTCTTTTCGGACATCAGGAATGACATTGGTTGCAGAGGGACCGCTAAAACGGATCATTAAAAGGGAATGCATCATCCTGAAGCAGTGTTGTCAATAAGTCATCGCACAAGACTCACAACTGACCACACTAGGAAAACATTTCGACAGGCATTAAACAAGTAGATAACTCTAACGCTCACCAACACATTGAACTCCAATCACTAGAAGATTATGTTTTTTGCATGGAAGATATGACATGCAGCGACATATACCTGCCACGGATGGGGAAAAAACGAGCCTAAACCCACTTTATAACCCAGTCACATGAAAAGAATCTTTATTAATTGTTCGGTCGAAAAACAGAGAAATTACTCTTCGTAAGCATAATGGACGGTTAGATAAGCGTCGGAAGTCGAAAAACTGGCAATTTTTCTGTACCTGTGACTCTGAACAACCATAGGACTAGCAAGGGCTCCAGAAGACCAATGAAGCTGGCAGTCAAAAGGCCTTTCTATTGTTCCTAATCATCTATCTTGAGAAGTTTGTAAGGAATAATTCAAATGACTCTCAATGTTCTGCTCAGGGCGTGGATTTTTTTTGTCCTTTTCCGACTTTGCCCTTATTTCTTCAGACACAGTGAAACAGAAGTGATGGATCAATCCAGAAAATGAGCACTCTCGATGCATTTCCCGACTGCGTCTCCGAAAAAACAAAGAAGAATTGGAAAAGAGGTACATTGCATTTATTGTTAAAGCCAAGTATTGCTGCTAACCGCCGCTTCAGGAAATCTTCCTCACCAACTTTAACTTGTGTCCTGTCCCCCCTTCCCCACCCGCCCCCTCGGTCAGGTCACTCTGGTGTGAATCAGCTCGGTGGCATGTTCGTGAATGGTCGTCCGCTACCGGACTCGACTCGTCAACGGATCATAGAGTTAGCGCACTCCGGCGCCCGCCCCTGTGATATATCCCGAATTTTGCAGGTATCCAATGGCTGCGTCTCCAAAATCCTCTGCCGCTACTATGAGACCGGATCAATTCGACCGAAGGCAATCGGAGGCAGCAAGCCGCGAGTTGCCACGCACACGGTGGTGAACAAAATCTCCCAGTACAAACGCGAATGCCCGTCCATCTTCGCTTGGGAGATTCGAGACCGCCTTCTCCAGGATGGGGTCTGCAATCAGGAGAACGTTCCAAGTGTAAGCACCGCCCTTTACCTTTTATCTCACTCAGAGGAAATAACCTGCATTACAGTCAGTGACCGATCGCATTAAATATTTACTGACCTTCTGAAATGCTTTTTCAATAATGAAGAATTAGAAGAGTAAATGGTGAAAATATGTATACTTTCGATAAATTTTCATCGGGCAAATTACATTTATATGGGAAGGGGTAAAAGGTACACGGTAAGTTGCACGTAATTATGAAGAATTACTTAAATGGAATTATAGTATGTATTATTGTGCATCATAATCCAAAGCATTGTCAGATACGAAAGAAGGTAAACTTTTGGGAGCACTTCTCTCCGACTGTCTGGAAAAACCGCATTCGGTACAAATGACTACTTAAGTAATATAAGTGCTTCCCATTTATCTTCGATACCCTCATCGATTCGGGTACATTTTCCTTTAAAATTCGTGCAAAAAAGATTCCTTCTTGTGTCCATTTGGTAAAACACCGCACTGGAGTCAAATTAATATAATACTTGAAGAAAAGGAACCCTTTGATGTTTACAAGGCGTTTTCCATTCCCGTATAATTTTGGGTCCGATCTGGCACTGCGTTTGGGTTTAATGTTTCAGATTCTAAAATCTGTATGCTTCCCTTGTAATTTAAATCAGTCATACTCTATGCCATTGAGAAAATACGATAAAGGGCCCTCGGAAATTTTGCAACAGTGTTGGGCTTCGTTGTATACCTTATTAGGAGCATCAAGAAACTGACAGATATGATGCTATTTAAGTAGAAATGGCACAGTCTTTAAAAAGCTCATAGCCGTAACTGTTTTTAAAACCAAAGAATAACATTCCTTCTGGTATGAAATTTGAAGATCATATGATTTGCTAACGAATGAATACAGTATACTGTCGTTTTGTGCAGGTTTTCTAAACCTGCAATAGGACAGTTTCATTCTGGTGAAGATGTCATTCTTTACGGAGTTTAACGAGAGCAGGTGGATGACAATAAGTACATTTGAAAGCTGGCATCTTGGCTTGTCTGAAATATCTTTGGATTGCGTATTAACATAGTATATATTACAACCTCACTTAACTAGTCCTCCCTCATCTAAAATATATGACATTACATCATTCCTCTGCATACGCAGTTTTCAGTGAGTCCCTGGCTCAATGGTAGAGTGTCACGCCCAATAACAAAAGAGCCCGATTTCAAAGTTTGGGTTACCCACACCTGGGTTTGTGTATAACTAGCTGATGACGGCTAATGAGCCAAAAATGGCCATTCCGGTTTCCATTGTCTTTGTCAATAGACTAGAATAGTACGTTGGGTTCAGTTTGAAGTGATTGCGACCACCAAAACAAAATGTTGTAAGCCGCGAGTTGCCACACACACGGCAGTGAGAAAAGCTCCCAGTACAAACGCGAATGTCCCTCCATCTTCGCCTAGGAGACCTGTGACCGCTTTATCCAGGATGGTTACTGCAATCAGGAGAAAATTCCGAGCGTAGGCATCCCTTTAACTTTTATCTCGCTCAGGGAAAATAACCTGCATTACAGTTAGTGACCAATCGCATTAAAAATTTACTGACCTTCTGAAATGTTCTTTCAATAATGAAGGATTTGGATTTGGCACTTGAATCTTTATGATTTTGGGGCATAATCTCAAGATATTTCTGAGAGGCCAGGATGGTTTCAATGAAATCCACCATATGCTTCAAACAGGTTGGCGCAGGGAAGGTGACTGGCGACAGGGGTTAGTTTTAAGTGATTGTAGACTTTGCAGACCGTCTACCGCACCCTCCATCTTCACTCAGAGTCACGATGACAGAAAGGGGGTCCAGCGTTGGCCGCTTTCTCCAATGTCAGGATGCCGACTTCTGAGTACACGTTCTTTCGGCCACATGCAAAAACCGCACTCAACAACAGGACTACCTTAGCAGTAGCAATATATCTTTGATTTCCCATAGCAGTATTAATTCAAATACATGTTATAAAAAACGCAAGCAAACATATTTCCCTTGTATTCACTTGACAGAAAATCCTTTATTCTTCAAATTCGATCCTCGAAGGAAATGCATGTCTAGATTTTTAAACAGTTCTCCATTTCCTGAATAATTTTGAGCCCAATCTGCCTCTGCATTTGTGTTTAGGGTTACCAGTCTATAAGCTGTATACCTTCCATGTAAGGAGTAGCCTATATTCTTCTGTGCTATTACTTAGACTCCATAAAGTTCTGATAAAAAAACGCAATGGACGGTGATTACATTATATACTTCATGAGGGGCATTAAGGAATAGGCTGACACGATACGATTTAAATGGAATCTGTATAGTCTTAAAACACTCTCATAGTTAGAGACCCTTTTTAAAACCGAAGCATAAAATTTGAAGAAGACGTACTTTGCTACCGAGTTAATACAATAAGATACATTTTCATTTATTCTTCGTACAAAATTTATCCGAATTTATAATGGCATCGAAAACCAATGAGGCAAATCCATACCGCATATGTAGTCATTTTTATACCTAACTAAAAATAAGTGTACCAAAAGCCGACATTCTGATGTATCTGGAATAATAAAGGTTTGCGCCGCAAGATTATTAGTATCACAACCCTACCTCAGTTTCCTAATCAAAAACGTACTTCTGATATTGGCCCTCCCCGAAGAGGATGTAAAGGGTTGAGTGTTTTATTATGCCAAGTTAAACAACCAAGAAGCCGCAGAAGAGAAGAGTGGAAAGGGCACAATTTTCTGCGAGTTTCCGAAAACCGGATTTCTCTCAGTATCGGTCTTCGGTTTCCCTCTAGACTTGGAGAACAAGATGGTTGGTGCTAACGAAAAGATCTGCGCGGAGGGTTCCATGAGTAGGTACAAGCAAGGACAGCAAGCAGTTAACACTATAGTTGGTAGTGGTTAGCGTCTCCTCTTAAGTAGACGGAGTTCTGACTGGCATAAGTTCACTCATAGGACTGAATGTTGAAAAAAAGCGCACTTATCACACTTCATCCTGCTCATTGGCTCCACAACTTCGGGAATCCGTTAGATTTAGTTGAAAATAGAAATAGGAAAGCCCTCCCTGTTGCTTCTGTCCTTAACACCTTTCCTGCTCCCAGTCATAGGATAGAAACAGGGATTTATTATAACCTTCATAGACTTCCTTATTAATGAAATGTCTTAAAGCGGCCAAGTAAGTAGCCAGCTTCTAGGCACCGAGAAACGGTAGATCCTTTATTGAAGTGGGAGATAGTAAAGTCGAGCATGCTTCTGGAGTGACCGATCGCATGAAAGGTTAACTGTTATTCCGAAAGGCTTTTATTTAATAACGGCGAAGTACTTAAGTAGGATTTTGACATTTATTATCTTGTAACATAATCCCAAGATATTTCTGACATGTCAGGAGGCCGGCTTTTGAATGTACGTCATTTCGGCAACGTGCAAAAACCGCACTCAATAAAAAGGCGACCGAAGTAGTAATCATATTTTATTAATTTTACATAGCGTTATTAATTCAAGTACATTTTACAGAAAATGTATGCGAAAATATGTTTTTCGTGCAGTCATTTGATAGGAAATCAAGTTTTTATCCAAATCTATCCTCGAAGTAAATGTATGTTTAGGTTTTTAAACAGTTTTCAAATTCTCGAATAATTTTGAGCCGGACCTCTCTTTAAATTTGCATTTAGGGCTTTCAGTTTACAGGCTGTATGTTCCCCGTGAAAGGAATAGCACATATTTCTTTATGCCGTTACGTAGTTACCATAGAGTGTTCACAAAATGTTTCAGTTAATGTGGATTATGTTATATACTTTATGGGGAACATTAAATAATGGACAGATACGATGTGATTTAAACGGTCTTTGCACGATATTAGAAACTCTCATAACTACTAAGTTCCACTAAAACCAAAGGACACCCTTTCTTCAAGTATACATCTAAAGAAGATACTATTTCCTATCTAATACGTACAAGAAACTATATTTTGGTGCATTTTGATATATAACATATTTGTAGTTATGAGGGCATCGAAAACCAATAAGAAAAATTCATGCTACACAAGTGTTCATTTTTTACAGTGTAGTTTGATTGAAAAGAACTGTATAAAAAACCGACATCCTGGCGTATCTGAAATATGATAGATTTGTGCCGCAAGATAATGAATATTGCAACCCCACTGGAGTAATGTTTCCTGATCAAAAATTTAATTCGAATTTTCATTAACATCTCATGAGATCGGCCCCCTTGAAGAAAATGCGTAGACGTAAGTGTTTTATAATGCCATTTAAGAGAACAGGGGAGGGCCAAATTTCCTGAGAGTTTTCGAAAACCTAGTTGATTGAGTAAATACAGGCAAATAATGATTCTTCTAAGTGGCGGTTTTCGGTTTCCCTCGAGAATTGGAGAGTAAAATAGTTGCTGCCAGTGAAAAGACCAGCGCGGAAGGATCTATGAGCAGGCACAAGCACGGACTGCAAGCAGTTCATTTTATAGTTTGTTGCGCTGACCGTCTCCTCCAAAGTAAACAGCCAGTCTTTAGGCACCGAGAAATGATAGAACCTTCGTTGAGGTGGGCGATAGAGAAGTCACACAGGCTTCTGAATGACTGTATTGAGTATGTTTTACTAGTAACTGGAAAGGCCAAGAATTTCAAAGAATTTTCCGTTTTTAATTATTGAACGCTAATCAGCTTGGTCCTTCCCAGTAAGTTGTCTTCTTTTTAGTTTCATAAAGAGAGGGGAAGTACGTAGCGCTTATTTCCAGTGTCCTTAAAGTTCCCTCGACGAGAACTATCAGGTGTTCTTTAGTAACGACCACCAAAGTACTGAAGGTGCGTTAGTTTAGTCAACGCTTCTGTTCTCCGTGAAGCGCTGAACGAAGTAGTCACTGGAGATGTTTGGGTGTCTCTCTTGAAAACACTCCTCAACTTCTGACTACCCGTCATTTTACCTTGGTCTGCAAGG